CTCCCCCCCCCCAACCCCCTACCCCCTACCCCTCTACACAACCAAATCGAACCGCCGACCCGTCTCCACCGCCCAACCCACTATCCCCAGCACGCGCATTTCCAGCCGACCTAATGCATGAATTTTGGTCGGGCGACAGGAGAGGGAGAGAAGACGGCAGCACATGGCACTCATACGCGCCCTGGAGAATCGGCGCAAGATGGAGGAGCGCGAGAAGAAGCGGCTCGAGGCCAGGGCCGAGCGAATCGCCTCGAAGGAGAAGAGGGCCGAGCAGAGGAGGATCGAGCTCGAGCTCGTCGAGCAAATCAGGAAGCCCGTCGAGGACATGGAGCTGACCGACCATAAGGCCCTGCCGGAGATCAAGCGGATACCGGGCCTCAAGCTGCCGGGCCAGGCCTTCGCCGACATCGTCATGGTCTTCGAGTTCCTGCACAATTTCGGCGAGACCCTGGGCTTCGGTAAGTAGGGGGCGACACGTAGTCAATAATTCGCGTCCCTGCCACCCTTCTTCAAACCATCCATCCATCTCTTTCCCCGTCACCAGCACCCACCCCCTGCCGCCACGCCTCGTTCATCATTAATTTTATCTTGGCAGACATGGACTCGCTGCCGAGCCTCAAGAGTCTCCAGGCAGCCCTTCTCAACGACGAGGAGGCCGAGGAAGAGATGCTCTCGGTCATGACGCACCTGCTCGTCTGCGCGATCGAGGACCCGGGCATTCCACAACCGGCCCGACACACGACCGGCCTGGGGCAGAGCTTACGCCAGGCCGACATAAGCCACGCCAACATCAGCGAGGTACTGCGCATCTATCTTTACGCGAACGCGACCGGCGAGGTAAAGGCCCTGACGGGCGTCTGCCTCGAGCGCGAGCGCGACAAGCGCTTCGCCGATCATCACCAGAACGGCGGTGACAACGCCCTCAACTGCTCGAGTAAGAATGCTCAGTTCTACGAGCACCTGCACAGCAACGACACCTGGAGAATGTCCGAGAGGCTGCGCGACAAGCCCTTCCTCGCCCTCAACCCCACGCACAAGGCGCAGATGCTCGCCTTCCTCTGCAACGAGCTCTTGCAGAACAAGGCCGTGCTCCGGCAGATCGAGCTCAGCCTCGAGAACGTCGCCCAGCTGAAGAAGGAGCGCTTCCTCCTCGACACCAAGATACGGAAACTGAGGCAGCTCCACGGCCGGAAGGTGCGCATGGAGGCTGTGGGCGTGATCGTCAACAAGACCGGTGACACGATTACCATTGAGAAGAAGGAGGTCGACGGCGAGGAGGTCGCAAGCGGTATTGGTGGCGTTTGCGGTGTCGGTGGCGGTAACGGTGGTGGTGGCTCCAACACCAGCACCAGCACCAGCACCAGCACCAGTACCAGTACTAGCACCAACGCCAATGCCAACGCCAACGTCAACGTCAACGTCAACGCCAATACCAATACCAACGCCAACGTCAATGCGAACATCAACACCAACACCAACACCAACGCCAACACCAACACCAACGCCACCACCACCACCAACGCCAACGCCAACGCCAACGCCAACGCCAACGCCAACGCCAACGCCAACGCCAACGCCAACGCCAACGCCAACGCCAACGCCAACGTCAACGTCAACGTCAACACCACCACCAACACCAACGCCAACGTCAACACCACCACCATCACCAACGCCAACGCCAACGCCAACGCCAACGCCAATGCCAACGCCAACGCCAACGCCAACGCCAACGCCAACGCCAACGCCAACGCCAACGCCAACGCCAACGCCAACGCCAACGCCAACGCCAACGCCACCACCAACGCCACCACCAACGCCACCACCAACGCCACCACCAACGCCAACGCCAACTCCAACGTCGCGGCTACGACACCGACCCCCGACGATCCCCACCACGAGGAGGAGACCCATGAGGAGGAGATGTCCGAGAACGAGAGCGAGGGCACTCAGCCGGAGGAGGTGCGTGCGCGAGTCCCACTCTCTCTTAATAGGCAGGCCTCACGGCCCACGGCGATTGTCCATCATCAATTCATTATTTTTCTAATTGACCTTTCAGGAGGAGGACAAGAATCTGTCGGGCGAGGAGCTCGGCAAGAAGCTTGACAAGCTGCTGAAGCAGTCCGAGGAGCAGCTGCAGAAGCTCAACAGCTCATCCAAGGAGCTCCGGGCCCACGTCTTCGGTCAAGACAGATACTGGAGAAGGTATTGGGAGCTTCCTTGTGCCGGTGGCATTTACGTCGAGGCGATGGAGAGCGCGGAGACCGATGTCTTGGCTCTGCAAGCTGAGCTCGACGAGACCTACAAGAACATGCCCATCGAGAAGAAGCTCGAGCCGACGAAGCAGGAGAAAGAGACGGCTGACATCGAGGAGGGCGAGGAGGGGGAGGGGGACGAAGACGACGATGATGAGGATGATGATGAGGATGAGGATGAGGAGGATGACGAGGAAGAGCAAAAACAGCAGCAGCAGCAGCAGCAGCAGCAGCAACAGCAGCAACAACAGCAGCAACAACAGCAACAACAGCAACAGCAACAGCAACAGCAACAGGTCAAGGGCGGAATCGAGAATCGTGAGAATGAAACTCCAAACGAACTCAAGGAGGAGAAGAAGCTCAACTCACAGAAGGAGGACGACGACGTGAGGCCGCACGACGAGAGGAAAAAGAACCAGGAGGGCTCCGACGACGTCACCGGCAATAAGAAGGAGATGAACAATTGTATATCCGACGAGTTGAAAAATTCAATATCCGATGTGAAGATGGAGCCCGAGGATACAACCGATCCTATAAAGAACTCGAGCACGGAGGACATTAAGCAGGAGAGCGATGTAATGAAAATGGACGTGGAGCACATTAAGTCCCAGGAGACCAAGAAAGAGGAGAACGGCATGGACGAGGAGATGATTAAGCCTCTCATTAAAATGGAGGACAAATTTGTCGAGACAATAGCTAACGGCGATAAATTCAATCATGTCAATAATAGTCTGCACAACGGTAAGGAATTGAACGGCAGCAGTTACCTCTCGGGTAAGTCATTTCGATCGCTATTCACCTCCTTCCGTTCCCTGGACGATTAATCATCCCAGGCTCGTTTTACAGACGTTAACTGCACCGAGGCCAATTGGTTTTCGATTCTACCCCGGGAAACGTGCGATACGCCTGGTCCAAGTACAAAGCAAATTTTCGGAATTGCCGAACCCACGGAATTGAAGATACCGATATTTCCGCCGCCCGCTAGTCCAAGCTTCGAGAGGTGCGAGAGCCCGGCGCCCCTTATACTCACCCAAGACGAGGCGGCACAACTCGAGTATCTCAAAATCCACGGCCTCCCACCCCCGGGCGAGCCCAAGCCCGTCCCGCAAGGTAAGCAATAATAACATAAGACAATCGATGATCGAACGGCCACCGAATCCCAATGAATCCACGACGCCCGATACATTAATTCTCTAATTAACAATGTAATTAATTAATAATGCATTAATTCTGCCGTTATGCATTAATTCGTAGATTTGAGATACGGCTGGTGGAGGATTACCGACGTAGACACGTTTCAAGAGCTCCTCGAGCACATTCACTCGCGCGGCGTGCGCGAGAAAGAGCTGAAGCGCACGACCTGGGCGACAATGGAGTCCTTCCTCGCTGTGACGGGGAAGATCCACGTGGATCCGGGGAACGTCGCCGCGACCGATATGTCCGACGCCGAGGAGGACGCCAGCCCGGCCCCGGTGCCAAAATCCGACGATCCGGAGGACTGGAGCGAGCAGGTCGCGATGCGCGTCGATGCCCAGCTCCTCGAGCAGGTCGAGGCCCTCGAGGACAAGGTCGCCAACGCCAGTATGCAGGTCAAGGGCTGGAAACTCCCGCCCCGAGCGGGTACCGAGGAAGCCGACGAGCTCGAGAAGCTGCACGAGATGGAGCAAGTCAGTGCGGTCGAGCAGGCGCGCCAGAGGCTACTGTCCCTCGAGGCCGCCATTGAAAGGAGATACCTCAAGCCACCCCTCGGCGTCTGGTAAATCCAAGCATCCAAAGCACCTAACGCAAACTAACAGCGTCGGGCGAACTCCGAGGCTCGCTCCCATCCCTCACCGTCACACCTCCCCCCCCCTCCCCTCCCCCAACACACCCGTCTCGCTTAGCTAACTCGCGTGGATCAGTCATGGGGTCGCGAGACCACAGGGCGCTCCACCACTCCCCGTCGGCCGACTTCGCCAACGTTACTATTTATAAATTTCAGCACGGGCGACCCGAACCTGGCGGCTCTCAAGGCGGAACAGGCGGCCGCGGCCGCGAGCGCGAGCGCCAACTCCTCGAGCGACGGGGGCTCGGGCTCGGGCCCACCCGAAGAAACGACACCCCGGGGCCTGAATAACTGGCGCGAGGCCACCGCTCGGGCCCACACCTCGGCCCAGCTCGCCATGGCGTTGTACATGCTCGAGGCCAGCATCGCTTGGGACAAGAGCATCATGAAGGCTGTGAGTCTAAATCCAGCTAGAAAGTCCGTCTGCGTCAAGCTACGAAATCGCAGCGTCTCACTCAAATCTGCTACTCAAAACAAACAGCTAATGTCTTCTACTCAGGCCTCTGTGGGTATTTGCACTAACTTACTAACCAACTTTCTGCGCTTCCTGTCTCTCACCTCCACTCTGTCTCCGCTCTGCCTCCCCCCCCCCCCCCCCCCCCCCCCCCCCCCCCCCCCCCCCCCCCCCCCCCCCCCCCCCCCCCCCCCCCCCCCCCCCACCCCTCCTGTCTCCGCTCTGTCTCCGCTCTGTCTCCGCTCTGTCTCCGCTCTGTCTCCGCTCTGTCTCCGCTCTGTCTCCGCTCTGTATCCGCTCTGTATCCGCTCTGTATCCGCTCTGTCTCCGCTCTACCACCGCTCTACCACCGCTCTACCACCGCTCTATCTCCACTCTACACGCCTTAACAATTACCTCCATCCACACGTTTTCGTCCAAATTCACCACCAACACTACACCCAACTATTTTCTTTGCTTCACTTGGCAA